ATGGATCTATTTTCATTCTTCTACAGGTTGACATCCAGTTATGCCAGCACCATTTGTTGAAGATGCTTTCTTTCTTCCATTGTATAGTTTTAACTCCTTTATCGAAAATCAGGTGTTCATAGGTTTGTGGGTTAAAATCTGGGTCTTCTATTCAATTCCATTGATCGACTTCTCTGTTTTTATTTCAATACCAAGCTGTTTTCAATAGGTCGCTCTGTAATAGAGTTTGAAGTCAGAAATGGTAATACCTCCAGAAGTTCCTTTATTGTATAAGATTGTTTTGGCTATCCTGGGTTTTTTGTTTTTCCATATAAAGTTGATTATTGTCCTCTCAAGATCACCAAGGCCAGCTGGACTGGGACTGAAAAAGCATGGGATAAAACCGGACTCTCTGAACATGAAGGACAATGAGGGCTGCTGAGAAGCCAAGGACAATGGCACTGGGTTTTGATCCTACTGCAAGAACTGGCTTAGTGGGAGCCTAGCCAGTTTGGATGCTCACCTTCCTAGACCTGGATGGAGGGGGAAGGACCTTGGACTTCCCACAGGGCAGGGAACCCTGACTGCTCTTTGGACTGGAGAGGGAGGGGGAGAGGAGTGGGGGGAGGGAGAGGGAAATGGGAGGCGGGGAGGAGGTGGAAATTTTTCAATTTAAAAAAAAAAAACAACACTATTTCTGCACTGAGTCTATGTGACATTTTAAATCTCTGCCAGTGTTTGTTCCCACAGTAACATCCCTGGGCAATCTCTCACCCTAGAGTTGTTTGCATATCAACTTCTAATCTTATACTAGTCCTCCTTAAGGCTCCAGTGTAGCTCAGTTTCCAAGGATAAGTTATCTCTCAAGATAGCTTGCATTCTGTTCTCTCCAGTTACAGAGAAAGACATAATGAAATTTTTCTCCCTTGCTGACCAACCTGTACATGATTACTCACTCACCAGAACCTGCATCTGCTTTGGGATCTTGAAAGACTATGGCCTTCTCTTGCAGGCAGGAATGAGTGCAAGATCCTTATCCTCAGGCCTCTCTGGCTTATCTTTTGGAGGAATCTTTTACTGGGAATCAAGAGTCTGGAGCACATTCTTTTTTTTTTTTTTTTTTTTTCATGAGTCACCACAGTTTTGCTACACAATTTTCAGGTAACTTGTCAACAACTTGTGAATTTCTGAGGTTTCTACCTCACTTTCTTTCTTTAGAATATTTCTTTTTTTCTCTTTTTTTGATATTCGGACTCTTCTATTTTACTGGGTTACATAGAGGCAGTTTGTACTCCATTATCATTAACAACTCAATAATTTAACTATTATACATTATTTTATATGGTTCTCATACATTATTTTGTCATGCTAAAATAAATAATTCCTAGAATAAATTTCCGTTATACTGGATCATCCATTATTTATGTTGATGGCTAAATTTGATAGTATTTTTTCAGTGGCCTCAACCAGACCAATGACTGATTGCAATGACCACTTACAAGTAAAGATGTCTGGACTAAACTGCATACTGTGTGACTCACTGTGTCTCACTTCGGCTTCCACACTGAGATTTTCTTATTTGTTTTGTTGTTGTTGTTCTTGTTGAAAGACAGGGAGCTCCATAAGTCACACTTTTGAAAGCACCTTCATATGTTTTTATTTTGTTTTTGTTTGTGATTTGTTTTGTTGGTTTTACCTTTAAATTTTGTATTGTGGGGGAGGTTCCAAGAGCAGAGGGCAAAAGAAGGGAGACAGGGAGATAAGTGACATCAGGATGTATAAGGTGAAATTCAGAAAGAATCAACAAAAAGAAAGCTTAAAAGACTTTTTCCTTTTAATTATGAAAGATTAGTTGGTAGTATGTACAAGTTACCACCACTTCCATGCTATGAATTTCCTCAAATTCTCTAGAACTGCCCATTTCTCTGTGCTGTTTCAGTTAGAAGTCTAGTTATAATCCTATGCTGTCTTTAATTATTTTTGTTACATTTACTCAATAAGTATTTGATGAAAGAAAGAATGTGTGAGGGAATGAATGCATAAAATTGCAGATGTTCCACGTGTTGAATCAAAATGTAGACCCTGAGCTTTACCTGGGTCTTTCATTTCCTTGGTAGAAAATCAAAATGTTACCAATGATCTGTTTATTCAGCATTTTCATGGGGAGCAAGGGCATGGTGCCATTTGTATGCTTCTTACTCACAGCTAAACATTTTCTCATTATGGAGGTGCTTTCAAAAGTGTGATTCATGGAGTGATGTGGGAGTGTCATATATCAATCTGTTGATTTCATTGGTTAATTAATAAAGAAACTGCTTGACCCTGATAGGTTAAAACATAGGTGGGAGGAGTAAACAGAACAGAATGCTGGGAAGAAGAGGAAGTGAGCTCAGAGATGCCATGCAGCTCTCTCCAGGAGAGACGCGATGAAGCTCCAACCCAGGATGGACGTAGGTTAAGATCTTCCCTGGTAAGCCACCTCATGGGCTACACAGATTATTCGAAATGGGCTAGTCCAGGTGCGAGAGTTAGCCGAGAAGAGGCTAGATATAATGGGAAAAGCAGTATTTAAATGAATACAATTTGTGTGTTGTTATTTCGGGGCATAAGTTAGCCAGGTGGCCAGGGTGCTGGGGACGCAGCCCTGCTGCTCTTATTACAACAATGGAGCTCCCTGTTTCTCAAACTACATATTTTTGTTGCCAGAAAAGGGATCTATTTTGTCTGCATATGTTTGAAATCTATGCTGAATAAGTTGACTATACCTTATGCTAATACCACATATAATATCTGGTATCAACATAAAACAACAGTGACAACCTTAAAATAATTACCTATGAGGTGACAAAATCTAGGAATTATAGGGGTTAAGTCTTAGAACAACTATATGATGTTCCCAGATGCGTTTCCCTCAACATAGTATCCTTATGAATTTCCATTTAAATTCTTCATCCCCAAACTAAACACTTTTATTCACTGAACTTGAATTTTTTTCTTTCCTTTTTAAATTACAGGCCATGTAGCCCTTACCCTATTAACAGTTTTGTAGCTTTGGCCATCATGAAGAATTAAATACATACCATCTAGTGAGCATTAAGTACACTTGGTAGACCACAGACACTTGTCAGAGTGATCAAGGGAGGTGGCTTACTCGGAATTGTCCAGAAGACACAACTGGCTTTCTGTGACAATACCCAGTGGTATTGTACAGCAACAGATAATATCTAGAACATCTCTGGGACACTCCTTGTACCTGCATGCTCAGATCTTACTGAATCCTAAAGTTGGACTGAAAATTCAAGGATACATCAAGCCTGGTCAGTAAAGAATCATGTATCACAACCACAGTCCTTACTAAGATTCTTCACCACCTCTCCTCTGGACACATCTTCAGGCTATACTGAACACTAGTGTCACACCTGAGTGGGAGCTATTATTGGGCTCTGGATTAATTTTGCATTTGTTCCTGAGGACTTCAGGACTTTTTCTCTTATGAATATTTCAGTAGCCTCTCAGATTATGTTTGTTTATACACTGACTATAGATTTTCTGAGAAGATCCATGTTGCTCAGTTTGGCAAGAAGCTTCTATTGGTATACTTAATTTTTAAATCATATCCATAGGAACCCTAACAATCTTCATGCTATTGCAAAAATATAACAATCTATGGGTGAAGACTAATTTTCTGATTGTTTGAATGATAAAGTGCTTCTGGAGGCTTGAATTTCAAGACCAGTAAATTTGACATTTGATGGGAGATGCTGTTTACTTCCAAGGACACAGCTAAGAAATGTTCTGGTTATAAGGTCAAGAAAACTCCAGCACTATTGTGAAAAGAAATGAGAAATTTTATCTCCATTTATGCTTCAAATATTTGTACAGCATTTTTTTTGGTCAAGTGAGACTTTGGAACAGCAAGAAATGAAGTAATAAACCAAAGATATACCTTAGGGTTGGAGATAGGGAACAAAGTGAGCTATAGATAGACTCTTGTCCAACCCTGGCATATACCAGGTGCCTCATCTTTGGATAATTATAAAGAACCAGATGCCTTCATTTGCTCTCTCAGAAGCAGGTTTGAGAAATGTGGCACCAGAGTGAGAATGCAGTGACCATAGAACACCTGGCATCCTGCTCAAACATATTGGTTAAATGAATGTAAATTATTTTGAATATTAATTTGAGAATAAATTTTGCCATCTCCTCCCCTGGGTTTTGTTGATGTCGTTAACCAGAGTGTGTTTAAAAATGCAACTAAAGGAGGGAAAAAATACCGAATCAAGAAAAAAAAAACTTTACAACTAAAACTCATATGTTCCCTTTTAGACAATATATTATTTGGGGGATAAGTCTGGCATGCTTACTAATAAAATTGGAAACCCCTAGAGTTAAATTAAAAACTAGCTTTTTCTTTTCTCCTCTCCTGACTGTTCATCCTCTGTCTACAGTAAGTTCACTGTCATTATTTTCTTGAAGATGTTTGAATTTGGACAAATGGCAGTCAAGAACTCCAACTTTAATACATTGTAAGAGAGAGGGCTCTGACTCACAGGGAAAGGGAAATAATGATGCACTGGTAATTTGTAGGCAGATTCAAAGGATGCATCTGTTTTTTTTTTTTTTTTCTTTTTTTTTTTTTTTTTCCTAGTAAATCCCTGAACCTTTGAGTGGAGAACACTTAGTTTTGATTTACCAAGCTTGTGGCCTCTGATACCTTTCATGGCTTAGTGTAAAATATATCCCAAAGCATTTACTCTCCCAAATCACAAATTTCACAGGCTCTGGAATGTTTGCACTTGACTTCTGATAACTGGAACCCATCCTCCTCATTTGTACCTTCTTTCTACTTGTTCTTTATGACTTGACAAACATCTCACCATGTCCCTTATATGATAGCTGTTTCCAGACTCTGCTATTCCCTCTGTAGGGAAGTGTATTATTTTTTCTTGCACCTCACCCCAATATCATATTATTTTCCCAACAGAAAAGATTCACTCATATTTGATGAATGAGTCAGCAAGCAGTCTTTATTAAGATTTATTGATATGTCCTGTTTTCTTACATGAGCTTGGTAAATAAATGTACTCTGCATTTTAATTTTACAGAATAAACTAATAGGTTTAAAACAATTCAAAAGTAAGCTACATTACATAATTTCCACTACACTGTTTGAACAAAAAACAGTAAAATTGTGTTACCAGTTTCAATCATAGATTCTACTTACAAGGAATAACATTTAAAATTAGTCCAAAATTAAACAGCTAAGCAAACCCCCAATTAGTATTTTTTTAACCTTTTCTACTGAGCTTAGGCTTGATTTTCCCTTACTTAAAATTTTGGCTGCATTTTTCAAAATTAGAGTGAGCCCATGCAAAAACAGGTCCCTCGCATTGGGTAAGAGAAACTAACAATCAGCGCTCTGCAAGCCACATGGTTGGGCTTCCATCTTCGGAGTCCCTTGTGGCCCAGGCCCTCTCTTCCTCATCTCTCAAAGCCTCTTCATACCAGACTGAAAAATCAGTTGGGTCACACCCATTCATCTTTGCCAAGAACTCCAAAACTTTCATCTTGGTAGTTTCAGCATAGGCTCTTGGACCCCACAGGAACTCGAAGCACGGAGGCTGGCTATTAGGCACCTGCCGATACTCTAGGTAATTTTCCTGCACTAAATTTATAGTGAGGAACTCCCTGGGATCCCCACAAATGAAATGCTCCTCCCCATCATACACTCCTACCAGCTTCAAGAATTCCCAGATTCTTTCTTCAGAAGCACGGTTCCCTTCTATGAAAATTACACCCAGAATGACTATCAGGAAAGCATTTCTAGGCAATCTATCATTGTCACTCAGCGTGTCCTCATAGGTGAGGTTCAGAGAGTTGACAAAGACATAAGCACTGCTTAGAAGATCACTTTGTTTTATATCAATGCCAAAGGTCATCTCCAAGCACTTAGAAGCTTCCATGAAGATGACAGGAAAATGGTTCTCATAATCTTTGGTGACAACCTCATAAATTTCTGATAATGTGATGGGTTCCTTCATTCTATACTTGTAAATGAAAAGAAACACCAGATCAGTAGCCTTTTCTTGTATCACAACATCCAGCAGGGCTTCAGGATCTTCAGAAGACTGACTGGCACCTGAACTCTCTTCGTCATTGCTGCTTGTTTCCTCTAAATCCCCCCCTAAAATAGATGAGGGGAAGAAGCTTTGAGCATTCTGAAAAATGCTCAGTATCCCAGGAGCATAGCCCGCATTTCCCACCAGGTTGCTCTCAAACAGAGAAAAGATTGAAGAGGAGGAAGAGGAGGAGGAGGAAGAGAAAGAAGGAGAAGGAGGGGTGAAACTTGGTAAAGAAACATTAGAAGATGAGAAAAACATGGAAGCTATGTCTGATTCTTCCTCTCCCTTCTCATTTTCTTCCTCTCCCTTCTCATTTTCTTCCTCATCCACTTCATCACCACACTCTTCCTTTTCCTCTTCATTCCCTTTTACTTCCTCTTCTTCCTTCTCATTGTTATCTTCCTCATTTTTCTGCGTATTGTTATCTTCTTTCTCTTCTTCTTTTACCTCCTCTTCTTCCTGTCTCTCCTCTTTCTCGGCTGTGGGAACCAGTGGGAACTCGTCTGGTTCACCTGGGATCTGGAAGCTTACACTTTGCTCCAGGCTGAGGCGTGGGTGCTTTCCGTAGCGAGACATTATTTTGCTCTCTGGGGGCAGAAGACAGAAAGGCAAACAGGTCAAGGGGGATGAGATTGCACAGGCATGGGGAAGTAAGAGAAAAGCAGAGCAACCCGGCACACAGGGACATATTTGTTCATGAAGGTTCTAACAAAAGCCAACTTACCGATCTTCTCCAGGTGATATGGTATAACCACAGAGTTCCACAGGCTTTCTATTTGGTTTGTCCTTTAGGAACCTACAGTAGAAAATGATAAAGGTTCTTTGAGTTCATCCAGAAGTCAGAGTCTGATTTCAAGGAGTACACATACAAGAGTACGTGGGACGAATTGTGTTGGGGTCCCTGCATTCTGCAGTACAATGTTTGTGTATATGGAGGTATGTACACCACTTGGACTCTTGGACTCTTGACACTTTCAGGATCTCTTTTGTTCTATGATTTTGAAAACACAAAATTAATCCCAAGCTTCTCACTATAGTCCCTTGAAGCTCTGCAATAGAAAACTAGGTAGTATCATCCTTAGGTTTAAAATAAAAGTAGACAGCCTGGTCTACAGAATGAGTTCCAGGACAGGAAAATGTTTTTGCCGAGAAAATGTGTCTTGAAAAAACTGACTAAATAAGGAGCAGTGGCTTCTCAGTGCTGTCCAGGGTATAAACAAACCAACAACAATGTGGAGCAGTAGTTTCTCAGTGTTTTCCAGGCTATAAACAAACAACCATCAATGTGGAGCAGTGCTGTCCAGGCTAAACTCTGAACATTTGTGGAGTGAAAGACCCCCTTTGTGCTTATCTTTGCCCCATGAAGAGATGGATTATATCCATCTGGTAGACTAAGGTCTAATTCACAGGACAAAACTTAACATTCCTAATACTATGAAGAGAAAGTGATGGAGCACGATTCAAAACCATATCAGTCTAACCTGAATGACAACAAAGTACCAGCCAAACTGCAGGGATCATAACTCTTCTAGGTTAGAGGTTATTTCATTCCTTTTTCCCTTTTTATCTATGCGCCATCCCATCTTTCTATCTATCTATCTATCTATCTATCTATCTATCTATCTATCTATCTATCTATCATCTTACAACCCAACTGCAGTTTCCACTCCCTCCTGTCCTCTGGTTGCCTCCGCTTTGCTCTTCCCAATCTACTCCTCTTCTGTATCTGTTCAGAGAGAGATATGCCTCCCGTGGGTATCAACAAAGCATGGCATATTCAGGCTGCCATAAGATCTTCCATTCTTTATCATGACAACTTTCAGCATTCTTTCTCTGTTGTCCCTGGTCTGCCCACCTCAAAACAAGCACTCAGTTACTTGATCATAGAGATAGGGTATGAACCACAAAAGACCATGTTACACAGCTCCTCTAGGAGATGGCAAGAGGACATAGTCAAGCTTAGTACACTTCTCGTCCTTCAAAAGAGGAGGATAACTGTGTCCTCACTCCTCATTCTGGAATATTACCTTATCTCCACACAGATCTTTCTCTCTTCTGATCTGTTATTGTTCTTTTCCAGATGGCCTTCTCTTCTGATGAAGATGTTTACTGCCTGGGAATACAGAGAGCAGTGAGAAGGTAAAATACTTGTGAGGCTTTGCCGTAAGAAACATAAATCTTCTCTACTACCACAAAATTAAAAGAAGCCATGCCTAACTGGCCAGGTGGTTGTCTTGGAATGCTCCAGGTAATTAAGAACTGTTAAAGTTGCCAGGCGGTGGCGGTTTACGCCTTTAATCCCAGCACTCGGGAGGCAGAGGCAGAAGGATCTCTGTGAGGTTAAGGCCAGTCTTGTCTAGAAGAGCTGAGAAACCTTGTCTCAAAAAAAAAAAAAAAAAAAAAAAAAAAAAAAGAACTGTTACAGATTCTCGAGTTCCGTGTTGGGACTCTGAAGTTGAGGCTCTTATACAGAATGCTGGATTATACTCTATAGGTAAGGAATTCCAGCTTCAGGAAATGAGCAGAAAAGGACCCTGAGAGAAGACTGAGAGCAGTGGTTATTCTCATCCCCTACAGATGGAAAGGACCTCACTTCCCCTTTTGTCTGATAGTCTGGGGAGCTGCAGATGGAGAGGGGGTTTACTATGTCAGTAAATTAAATTTGTGAAGAGGATGGACAGTGAGCAGCCGCAGCAGTTTGTAAAATATCAGTGTGAGAACCTTGTCAGACTCTCCCCAGTGCTCCGTCACTGGAGCAATCTCTTGGATAGTTTCCAAGGCAAAGAATCCGTCCCAGATTTTTGGAATACAGTCCCCTTCTGAGAGGACAAATCTTCCTTGGGATATGAATACAGAATTATGGTTAAAATGTGTTCTTGCTGATACCTAATCTTAGCATCCTGATATGGTTGCCTGAAGAATCAAGACTAACAAACACTACTGATTTCTGAAGGGAAAGGGAGAGTATCACTCCTCCTCCCAGAGGATCCTCCTCTTCTTTTAGAGTTCTCATAAGCCTCCTGCAGGTTACTTTTTTTTCTTTAATAACCAATAAGCAAATACCTTAGCAAGCAGGACTATTTCCCTACTGTTTCTGTGGGAGAAGGAAAAGCTGTGACTCTTCACCCAGAGTCATGTCCTTCAGGGCTGGAACTCCTACTCATGGTGTTTGGTGTCTAGTACCCTGTTGAAAAGACTCAGCATAAAGTAAGGGAAATGCCCCATTGATCATTCTGCCTAGAGTCACATAGAGGCAGGAACTGAGGAAAACTGTGGCAGAGGTCTATTTCTGTGAAGGTCAGGTAGAGTTTTAATCTTTACTCAGAGTCTTTCCAGTCCTCCTTAGAGATCTATTCCTGATTTTTCTCCATGCAGGAATTAAAGTGAAAAATCCAAGTCAGTATCAGAAGTCAAGTTATTACCTCTCTTATTCCCTGAACATTTCAGGGTCGTAGCAAAAGACTTCATGGCCTAGAGCAATGTTTCTCAACCTGTGGATCAAATGACCCTTTCACACAAGTCACATATCAGACATTTACATTACAGTTTAGAATAGTTCCAAAATCACAGTTATAAAGAAGTAATGAAGATAATTTTATGTCTGGGGGTCACCACAACATGAGGAACTGTATTAAAGAGTTGTAACATTAGGAAGGTTGAGAATTACTGGCCTAGAGCCTAAATAAGAAATTTCCTGCGCAAGGAGCACTGACATTCCATCTCAATTTCTATAGTGGAGGGGATGGCAACAAGGTTGCTCTCTCAAGTTCTTCCTTTCCAAGGTTCAAATTGCATCTTTCTATATTCGGCTTGAAAATTAGTTTATTCATGTGGACTGAAAATGAAGTTGAAAATATACTACAATGTTCATTATTTTCTTAGGAAAAAAAAAACCTCTAGAAACAGTAGACTCCTCATAATGCCTGAGATGAATGCTGTTTGAAAAAGTGGAACAACCTCTCTCTATCTGAGGAGAAGGGGTAGGCCCCAAATTCCTCCATGTTTCTTGGAGTTGGGACTGTTCCCCTGCCAGCCATAATCCAGCCACCTGACCAAACAAACAAACAACAACAACAACAAAAAACTCATCTCCCTTGAACTCTGGGCACAGAAGGCAGAAACAAACAGCGTGAACCTATTTTCCTTTGGTCTCCCTGGAGGTCCTACATTAGTAAGTGAAGCTATTTATGCCTCTTTCTGTGGAAAGAAAAGGCTCATATTATCCTTTAGCACCTTTCCACTCAAAGCACCTCCAATGTGCTGAGTTTAGTTCCTTCCCTAAAAGCCTCTTTCAACTACGAAAGGATTCACACACCCCTATTATTTGTGTTGCGCACCAAGTTTCCCAATCTTCCATTAATGTCCTTCCAAGGCCCTCTATTTACATTCCTCCAGACGTGGACTTAGACCCTGCTGACTGAGTTCTGCCCACTCTCAATGTCTTACTGCTTTCAGTATCCCAGGCGAAAGCTGGGAACAGCACACGACATGCCCTTTCTGGATCAATTCTGAGATGAATGCTGGACAGACCCCTATATTTGTGGGTCTGATGGCCCCTCAACTTCTTATTTCACTCTCAAACCTCTCTTCTCAACATTTCCTGAGGTTGGAACCTGTGCTCCACTAAGCCCTTTCACGAAAGGCCTTACCTCCCTTAGGCTTCGGACAGGAAGCTCCAGGTAGCAAACACCAAGCAGGAACAGACTGGATGCCTTTGGGGCAGCAGTCTGAGCAACTGGAATGGGTCACACCTCTTTTTGTCCAGAGAAAGCCTCCGCTATTTTCTGAGGCTCCTCCTACTCAAGGCTGAGACTGCTCCTGATAAACCGGTTTCGCGTTTTTTCTCAAAAACTTCAAGTCCCATAGTCCTGATATTGAGCTTGTGGAAACAATGTTTAGACTTACAACCTTGCTTAGAGATTCCTAGGACCACAATTTCGTCAAAGAGGACTAAAGCCTTATTATTTCTGTAGAGGTAGGAAGGCTCCCATCCAACCTTCATGCTCCTTCCCTCCAGATTAGGAATTCTTCTGAGTCTCATCCTGTTCAGAAAGCCTCAGATACCACAGACTTCTGACATTGAATTTATGGAAACAATGTTTAGAGCTGCAACGTTGCCTAGAAATTCCCAGGGCACAGCCTGGTTAAGGAGCATTGTCACTTAACTCTTTCTATAGTGCTCAGAAAGACTTCCTTCTATTCTTCCATTAGGACCATAACCTTTAAAGCTAGCATTCTCCCAAGATGACTGTGGGAGAATCCTACCTCCTCAAAATAATTCACTGCCACCAGCCAACAAGATACAAACTACAAATAGCAGATCCTTCACCCTTTCTGTATGCTTCCTCCTAAGAATTCTGGGGAAGGTGAGGCCCAAATCCCTGTACATGTAAGGGAGTAGGATATTCCCAAAGCCCCATGAGGAACTTCCATTCACTCTTCAGAGGGTCTCTCCTCAATATTTCTCAATCCTGGGACCACTTCCTTTGCTGACCTGGATCCAGCCCATTCCTTAAAATATTCATCTTCCTTGTATTTCCCACATGGGATTCAGGGAAACAATTATTTCATCCAAAATTGACATGCAACCTCTAGGCTTTAGGGAAACTGCTTAAAAACACATGAGTGGAGGCCATAATATTTATGGGGAAAGGGAAAACTGACAATCCTCAACTGCCATTGTCTTTGCCTTGATGTTTACCAAGGTTAAAACTATACAATCCAAAAGCCTCCATCCCCCTAGTCTAGCAATATGTAATCCAACAAACCAAACAGCACACTGCTTTTCCAGCCCATAGTGCACCAGAGAGATGATTTCCAGGGTAGACAATGTCAGCTCCATTCTTTGTTTGGAAGAGGGATGCCTTTTTTTTTTTTTTTTTTTTTTTTTTTTTTTTTTTTTTTTTTTTTTTTGGTTTTTCGAGACAGGGTTTCTCTGTGGTTTTGGAGCCTGTCCTGGAACTAGCTCTTGTAGACCAGGCTGGTCTCAAACTCACAGAGATCTGCCTGCCTCCGCCTCCGGAGTGCTGGGATTAAAGGCGTGCGCCACCACTGCCCGGCCTGGGGGATGCCTCTTAATCCCCCCTGGAACCCTGATAGTTCTCCCTCACTTGAATGTTTGCCTTGTCTGGGAATCCTTTCCAGCAGTCCTAAGTCCAACACACCTCCAAACCCCCACCTCTTTTAGATTGGGATCATGACACTACTAAAAATAAGGATTCTGAGCCATGACCTAAAGCAGAGTACCCTGAGGTACAAAAGATGATGTATTCACTGTTTCTGTGAAGGAAAAGAAGATTCTATTCTGAAGACCATTGTTTACACTGAAGGATATGCCTCATAAGGGAGTGAAACCACAGACGAAAAAGCTGCAAACCCGCTTGTATTCCAGAAATGGAACATGGGGGAAATATTTAGAACTGTGATAGCCTGGAGCCCCCACTGTCAGGAGGAAGTACCCTGGCGAGTGGGGCTGGAATTATGTAATGGCTTTGGGTGAGGAAAATATTCATACTCTTCACTCAAGTTCCACCTCCTCAGGACTCAAACTCCAGCTCTCTTTCCAAACTCTCAATTTCCTTGACCTTGCAGGACAAAACCCAGGAAAGCATACATTGTATCACCTTCTTTTATCCAGGCAGGGATGGCTTCTTGGGAGGGCACAGGCAGAATAATTCTATCTGTGGGAGCCTAGAACACACGAATTTTCCCAGACCTCCTATAAGGTAAGGCCTTCATGATGATGCTGGGAAAGCAAAGACTTAGATAGGAATGAACTGCTCAAAGCTGCAAGCAGGACCCTGGTAATTGTCTCTTCTGAAGGTATTCACCTTTGTGGTTCAACATTCCTGAAGTGATGCTTAGGTTGCTGCTGTTTTATCAGAAACTAAGATACCAGAACAGTTTTCCACACATGGAAAGCAATAGCCTTAAAAGGCTCTAACTTCAGTATATCACTTATGTTATGGTTTTGACCCTTTCTCAGATTTTCTAGAGGATTTGGCATAAAAAAAAACTGTAAAAGGGGAGACCTTGTCCACCATTATTTTTAAGGGGAAATTGTTGGTCACCTTATCCTAGAAATGTGCCACACATCTGATGAATGAATACACATAAAACTTTTTTTTAAAAAAATCCTTATATAGACTCTTCAGTACAGCTCTTTTCTTTGGGGCAGCGCAGTCCATTCTGTCTTTGGGGTATTTTCTTTGTTTACCTTTATTAAATAAACTTCTATTTAAACTGTCTAAGTTTCTTGAGTAACTGAATTCATTCCTCCAAGAAGACAAGAACCAAGAGATCTCTATAAAACCCACAATATTTTTCCCGGGCTGGAAATCCTCCCTTAGCGATCTGAGTACACATGATCTCAAGACATGAAAATCTGGGAAACAAGCTAGTGTGAGTCATGGCCAGGAATGGAGAGTCTTTCAGCAACTTTCTTTGCGTGTGGGACCAACACCGTCATCTTCCTGTAGGGAAAGGCTCCTACACACTCATTACTAGAACTCCTTACCTGCCAACCCAAGTTCAGTCCAAAATCCGAAAGCCTTATATCCCTCCAGTTTCCAACTGTACAACCCATCAAATTTCCATCTTCCCTTTCAAATAATTTATAAGAAGCCTTGAACTCTTTTTGTCCAGTACTGAACACACAAGCTCTCAGACTTGTGTCTGAGATAGATGCCTTCTGTGAAAGGTCTAATCTTATTTTTTCTATTCCTATTGTCCTTTATGCTCCAATAATATTTGACCAGTCAGTGTAACCGACTTTCTTTTTTTTTTAAAAAAAAAAAGGAATAATGGAGTAGAGCGATGGCACAACAATTAAGGGCACAGCCTACTCGTCCAGAAGTCCCAGAGTGAATTCCCCGAACCCTAATGGCAGTTCAAAAGTGTCTGTAACTCCAGCCCCAGAGCATCCAAATTCCTCTTCTGACCTCCGTGATTATGAAGCACACCTATAGTCTATATATACATGCAAGAAAAACACTCATACACATAAAAATAAAATAAGAAAAAATAAGATAGAAATGCCTATCCAGTCCGCCACATTCCCCACCTCCTCCCCTTTGCTTTTTCTGCTGTTTTCCAAAGCTAGCCAAGCAGGAATAGACTATGAGGTTAGATCTCAGCAAAGGAGGAACAGCCAAGTCCCTCTGGTGTTAAGGATGAAAGTTGGAGACCTTATCTGCTGGATGTGCTTCCTCCACCATTTCAGTGAGAGTTCAACACCCTTTTGATCAGAAGTAAAGTTGTCATATCCGGACACTTTATTCAGGTTAGAGATTTATTTCTTTGAAATCCTAAGACTACTTCTAACAACATTTATGGAACTACATCGTTTAATGTGTTTCCCTAAATGTACCTGACCCAGAGGCTCCCAGGCCGTCTCTTTGGGCATGTGGGTTTTCTCAGTGAGAGAAAAAGCTCTATCTCTTTCCTCCCCATCCTCATACGCCCCTCAGAAAGAGTCTTATCTTGGAGTCCAATGAGTGAGAAAACAGGCTCTATCCCCTCCCTTCCCGTCCTCATAAGCCCTTCAGAAAAACCTTACCTTGGGCTCCAAGCACGGAACACAGAATGACAATGGTAAAAGCAAGGAAACTGCCTGATCAGGTGAAACTGGTTTACCCCTATAAGGATTTCTCTGGTCCCTCCCAGCACTTTCCTAAAGACTTCCTCTCAATGGCTATCTAGGCAGGGTAACCCCTGACCCAAATGAAGTCAACGTTCAAGTAGCCTAACTTCTTTCAAAGTACCCACACAAAATCAGTTAAGGAAATGGTTTCATCTTAAACCTATACTAGACCCAATCTAGCAAATCACCTCCTTAAAAATGCAGTTTCCCTCAGACTCCAAACATAGAACTTGGTGGCTGAGTTTAGTACAAAAATTTGTCAAGATTTGTGGAGCCACTACATAGGCAAATTGTATCGGAAGCAAGCTTTTTCTGAGAGCAAATGTCATGCTCCAACTGCTCTTTCACTGACTTCCCAACCCTGCTAACCAGAGTCTATCTGCATATATAATCGCTTCACTTCCCTTTAACTCCCAAACTGTAACCCTAGAAACTACTTTACTTGTTCTGTTTGAAGATTTTCTGGGTTATCTGTTTTAGAAGAAAAATCAAGATCCTCTGTACCTTTAGAGAAAGTCAAAGCTCCTAATCTTTCAGAGTCCTCTCAGTCTCAGATGCTCTTCTTCTTGATGTTTCCAAGGCTAAGATTCATCTCTCTGCTGTCACAGTTTCAGCCCAGTCCCCCCAAATACTGCTTCACCTCCCCTAGACTTCCTAATGGCACTCCTATTACTTATAGAAGCTGTGACAGGAAATTGAAGCTCAAGGGGTTAATGCTTAAGAAGAGACGATTAGGAGTTCTGTTTCTCCAGGACAGGGGAGATTGCTCAGTCCTCACCCAAAAGCCTTTCTTTAATATTTCACAAACTTAGGACTGTTTTACTGCAGACCAGAGTCCAGCGCTATCACAAAGCCTTGACCCCCCCCCCCCCCCAGACTCTAGACACTGAAGTCAGGAAAGATTACAAGTCTTATCATGTTGTGCTTCAGGGAAAACTTCAGTAACCTAGGGAACTCTGTACTCTCTACAGCAGTGGTGAGAGAGGCTTTTAGTTCAAATTTGGAACATTTTGTTCCTGATTGGCCAGGTTTTGATAACCTCCTTCACCTTCTGTGAAACATAAACCTCAGAATTGCCAAATGGAATTC